TTTCACCCTCACAACCACTCAGTTAAATCCATTATTCTTAAAAACTTTAAATTACTTCAAAACGATCCAGAGACTGGCACTATCTTTTCGCAACCTCCACTCATTTCATTCAAACGCGACAAAAACATAGGCAATTTTTTGGTCAGAAGTTCATTACAAACTAATGACCAACCCGGCACTTTTAAATGCGCTCGCGCACGATGCAAAACTTGTCCTTTCATTCACAACGCTGAAAAAATATCGGGACCCAAACGATCCATTAAGATCACTGATCACTTCACGTGCACCTCCGCCAACGTCATCTATTGCATAACTTGCACTTATTGCAAAAAGATGTACATCGGCGAAACAGGAAGACGACCAGGTGACCGATTCCGAGAACACCTTCGCGACGTAGAAATGAATGACAAGGACGCATCAAAACCACCAGTCGCTAGACACTTTAATCTACCAAATCATTCTAAGCAACATATGGCAATCTGCGGTCTTTCCTTACACTCAGGTAGTTCGGAAAGCTGCAAAACTCTTGAACAAAAGTTTATCTTTCTAATCGGCACTCTTAATCCCACAGGTATCAACGAACACTTTTCATTCTACTAATTTATTCGTGTTTTTCTCGTCGCCATGTTCCCACCAATAGCGTAGCTCCACTTTCTGCATGTAAACCCACACACAACCCACAATTCCTCCATTTGCTCTGACGAAGGGCTAACGCTCGAAACGTCAGCTTTCTAACTCTCTACGGTGGCCAATTTACAATTTCAACTTAGTGGATATTACCGAATTACCTTCTTACCCCTACCGACGCAGCACCACAGTTTCTTTAGAAACTTACTCCCTTTATGATGAACACGGCCGAGATTGCCATAACTTGTACCCTCTTCAGTTTTGTCTCCCACCTCTTTTGCAATTTTTGGAACTCTATAGCAGTTTTAAAATGTCCCGTAAACTATGATAAACACGGCCGAGATTGTCATAACTTGTACCTTCTCCAGCTTTGTCTCCCACTACTTTTGCGATGTTTAGACATCGTTCATGGTACGTTTCTGTACTCTATGGCAGTTTGAAAATGTCCTAAACTCTGATAAACACAGCCAAGATTGCCTTAACTTGTTCCTTCTCCAGCTTTGTTTCCCACTTCTTTTGCGATGTTAAGATGGTGTTCATGGTACTCTATGGCTGTTTTAAAATGTCCTAAACTATGATAAACACGGTTGAGATTGCCATAACTTATTCCTTCTCCAGCTTTGTTTTCCACTTCTTTTGCAATGTTTAGACAGCGTTCATGGTACTCAATGGCTGATTTAAAATGTCCTTAACTATGGTACGTTCTTTTTATCAAAGAGAGCATCAAACAAAGATTACTAGACGGCCCGGATCACAGTATTTAAATTTGAGCACACTTTATTCGTCCTTTTCTTAATTCTCAAATAACAAAGACCCTTTACCTCCGAATGATTGATATCTCAGTTTTTTGTTTTGGATTTCAAAAAAAGGAAGCGTTTTGGAAAATTCAGAAAAAGTGGGTCCTCAAAATGCCCCTTTAGGTTGGTTTTGTGATACAATCATAGCATCCTAAGAGAAGTGACATCCTACTGAAATGAAAAAAGCAAAGATAGTCAGGAAAAAAATTCCTACCCAATTGGAAATGAGTCTTTGTCCTGTTGTTATAGAGTTTGGCGATGAGTCGCATATCTCTGCACCTGACCAGAATGCCTTGCGTGTAAAAATGAACTGCGTTTGCGTAATCCTTCTCTTGTCTGTATACTTTGTTGCCTTCCTCAAAGTAAGCCTTTGCTTTGGCTAAAACAATGATTGAAAGGAAAAGATATTTGACTTTTGAATGTTGGTAGTGAGCTAGCTCGAGCTATCTCTTCACTGAACTTCATTGAAGTCCGGGGAAAAGTTTTAAAGAGATCACTTTCAAATCAATGCAACTATGTTCGCGGTTTCTTTTAATCAAGGGTCTTGCTGGGGACAAGCTTGGTCAAATGATCTTTAAAATTTTCCGATTGTAACGGTGGATCATTAAAATTTTGGGCTTTTGACGGGATCAGGAATAAAGTTCTTTGTTTTTTCTGGAAACAACTTTTTGAATATTGAAATCAATCGGTTCAAATGCACGGGAGTCTTACGTTAGAATAAACTTTATCTTTTTATTTTTTGGAGATATTTAGATAATGGGGGCCTGTATAAATAAGGCCATACCACGACACCGGAAGTTACGTCCCCAAACTCTTTGCGAGAAGTGCGTGGGCCCTTTAACGTCCCCTGCTAACCAGTAGAGAGCCAATCGCTTAAAAACACAGATCGTATTGGCTTCCAAGGCACCTATTTCAAATTTAGGAGAGGATGTTGAGGGTGGTAATTAGAGGGGTGGTGTAATCGACAGCGACGATTAAGCAGATTTTACCAAATTGTGGCCATACATATAATTTACATATGGTGCACGATCCTCGCAGTAGATAGCGCTATTTAAGCAATAGCGAAAATCAGACCTGAAAAAAACCAGGCCTGTACGGGATTCGAACCACTGACCTCTGCGATACTAGTGCAGCGCTCTACCAATTGAGCTAACAAGCCAACTGGGAGCAGGCCGTTAAGTTGATTCGTAATAAACCCGTGAAAGTGATAAATCAGATACAATGAAATATATGAAGTTCATATATTTTGAACTGCGGTATTAGATACGTATGATGCACGATCCTCGCAGTAGATAGCGCTATTTAAGCAATAGCGAAAATCAGACCTGAAAAAAACCAGGCCTGTACGGGATTCGAACCACTGACCTCTGCGATACTAGTGCAGCGCTCTACCAATTGAGCTAACAAGCCAACTGGGAGCAGGCCGTTAAGTTGATTCGTAATAAACCCGTGAAAGTGATAAATCAGATACAATGAAATATATGAATCAACTTGACGGCCTGCTACCAGTTGGCTTGTTAGCTCAATTGGTAGAGTGCTGCACTAGTATCGCAGAGGTCAGTGGTTCGAATCCCGTACAGGCCTGGTTTTTTTCAGGTCTGATTTTCGCTATTGCTTAAATAGCGCTATCTACTGCGAGGATCGTGCATCATACATAATGATCCTATTGCGTCTCAGGTAACCCATTTAAGCAGATTGCGTAAGTANAGCACACACAACCCACAATTCCTCTATTCGCTCCGACGAAGGGCTAACGCTCGAAACGTCAGCTTTTGTAATCGTTACGGTGGCCAATTTACCATTTCAACTTTGTTGATATATCTAAATTATTTCGTTACCCCCCTCCGAAGCAGCCCCAAACAGTTTCTTTCGAAACTATCAGCCTTTATTCAATTAAGCCAGACTGATTTGTTTTGTTGCTATACGTTTATTTGGGTTTATAACATTAGCCAGTACTTATTTCTGATCGTTGCAAATTTGGCTCAAATGGCAAAGACCAAATATATAACCCAAACCATGTTTGTCGAGGAAATCCGGTTTTTTTTATATCTCCCAGACGTTCAATGAAAATCATCTTTTGCAGGCGGGCGTGATCAGAAACAAATCATTAAAGAGGTAAACCTTAAAATGATTAATATCGTTAAAGCAATAGAGTTTACAGATAAATGTCAATTTACGCGAACATCAGTTAATTGACCAGAATTTTTGTAAATGTGGGTATAATTCCGTGAAAAAATTCAGCAAAATATAGGAACGACTAAACTCGAGAACTCCGGATTGTGTGTCGTACGCGCTTCGATGAAGAATCAGAATTCTTACCTCTCAAGGTGATGTCATCAAATCCATCTTTATCCTCAGATTCTTTCCCTGCATCTAAAATTACCACTAAGTGAGAAATGTTTCAGATCGTTAAATCTTTAGTTTTTCACCTTATTAAAGTAATTCAAACGAAATGATTTACACTGTCATTCTTTCGTTAAATTTTTGTTTTAAAAATGCTTTGGCTTTCAAATTATGCAAAAAAAGTAGTACTCTTTCAAAACGCAATAATTTCCGGCGATTATTTTCCAAAGCAATTTCTCAGAACGGGAGATTTGACATCCTCTTAGCTCATGACACTTGTGTTCAGGAAACGCTATTTTTGAAAACTGACGCGCCAAAATAATTGATTATTCCATTATAAAGGAACGTTTTAAGAGTTAGTAATCAGTATAAACAGGGGCGGAATGAATCTGAATTTGAGCGTCATCATGTCTCCAATGTCAAAGTAACAAAAGAAATGAAATTATTGATCTGAAGATAGATGCACGTACGCTCGCATTCAGTGAGATATGTTTATCTAACCTACAACCGTTCGTGCAGATAACTGTTCGTTAACAAAATATTTGTCTTACCTTCTGAACTGCCATCATCAGGAGCAACTTTTTCTTCTGGTGGTAGTGTAAACCCCTCGGCCATTACTAGAAAATAAAAGTTTTGGTCATGATGAGGCGAGTGCAAAGTGGAAGTCGCCCATGAGTTCTCGCGTTTCCGGTTCCTCTTTTTATTTAAAAACCGGCTCAGTACTGCATCAATAAAATATTTGAATCGACCATTTACAAAAAAACTAAAAATTATCACGCAATATTTTCATTGTTAGCCATATCTATAAGGCAGTGAACGTTCAATCCTATTTTTTTTTTTTTGATAATCCGACTGGAATTTGCAAGCGTTTCGACATGTCTCTTGATTCTAATGAAGTAATTCTGATCCAAATTCTCCAACTTTTCTGATATTCAAGTAGTTTACACGTGTTTTGTAGGCTGCACATTAAAAAAAGCAACACGTTTATTATAACACGTTCGTCAACAAAAATCAAACCAAATTTGTAGGCCTAAAAATTCGAACCATGGACACTAGAGGGTTTTTCGAAATTTGATTCCGTTTCTCAGTCTCCGGGCTTGAGAATTGTGATCGCCCAATATTGAACGGGGGCACTCGAGGAAATTTTGATCTTTTTTGGCCATTTTTGACAACTTTCTTAGAAAAATTCGAGTTAAATTCCTTGTTTTCTTTAACTAGTTTGTTCAAACCTGCCAACTACCGCACAACGATATCGCCCAGTCTGAGCACTTTGAAATCGTTCAATTGGACGGGGCACTCAACTCTCTTTGAAAGAGCTGATTTAAAATTCCTTGCCTTTTTTTTTAACTAGTTGTTCAAACGTGCCAACTTCCAAACAACCGTTTAGAATTGGCACATTTTGCTTTCGACGTGCATTATTAAATCTGTATGACTAGAAATCGTCTCTAAAAAAGGATACGAAAAAATACCTAAGATTGCAGTTGGAGCCCAATCCAGCTCGTGAGACACTTTGCAGACTGCATTGAAGTCCGGGCACCGGAGTGCCATTAGTCTCAATGTCACGATCCAAATTTTGAATGGTGTGTACGTCTTCTCAAAAGTGATTCAAAAACACTAAAACTTTATTGTTTTGCGATAGGTTTATATTGACTTCAGTGTCAACATCAATCGATCGAAAAAAATACCAAAAGCCAAAATCTGAACAAATAAGTGTCTTTTACTAGTACAAAAAAACTTTTACATTATTTATTCATGTGTCCGCGCACGGAGTTGAAACATTAAAAAAAATTATATCAAAGATAGCTCGGTCAGAGGAAGCTCGATACACGGACGGCGAAAAGGTATGTTTAAGCGTGAGGGGTATCGTTGGAATTACTGATAGCGTTATTGTACAAAGGTAGGAATGGAAGAATTTCAAATAAAAAAAGGTAAAAGAACAAGTACTTTTTTAAATGCTTTTAATTTCTCCTTCTTGTGCTTTAAAATAGATTTTTATTTATTTATCCATTCATTTATTTGTGATAGCCTAGACCCTGTTAAATGAACAGCAACATTTATTCTCCTCACACGCCCGTTGATTCGTACAGATTTTTCGCCGGATAGTACACCGACAACAACCGTGCGAGAGGTACCTCTGCTGCTTTCCTTTTTTAAGACACCTGACCCCGAACTCCCTCGCACCACGTCACAGTTATTCCAAATTTGACCACTGGTCACAAGGATTGCACGACATTTGGAGATCCAAAGACTGCTGGGAGGTTTGTCACCCGGAAATCCTGAAGAGTGAAAAAATGACGAGAACTTCAACTTAGGGATCACGTTGGAAAAAAAGTGGAACTCCCTTTCACTATCAGTTATCGGCCTTCTTGACAAAATAATAATGTTCACAAAAACAAATGTTTAGATAAAAGTTTTGTCTAAATTTAAGATAAGATCGATGCTTACTAGAGGATAAGATCAATACTTACTATCGCCCAGCTCACCTGTGATTGATATTAACGAGTTTTTGGGTAACGGTGTGGACACAACACTAACGTAAGATCGACGATTTGCCCGACCTTCGAGTTTAAGCACAGTATAATCATCTGTTTTTTTGTTGATTTTCCATCGTAGTGGTATGGACGCTCTTATCACATCGTACCACTGCAGCCGGCCATTTCGCTCCAAAAACCCAACCTGAAGTGTAGCAATGTCCTCTCCGTCAATGCAATGCGCGCTGGTTAGGACGTGATGCGAACCTATCAAAGTCCCTGAACAAGACCAACGACAAGATCCCTTACAGGAAACTTTACAAGCAGCTGAGTGAGGTGATTTTTGGGCCTTGTTGGAGGAGGAAAGCTGTTTACGATCGTCTGGTGGAATTATCACACGCTTAGCTTGTGGCTTCTGATTAGTCCCTCTAGTAATTTCAAGAAAGAAATTGATGCAAATGTTATTCATGCGAAGCTCCCAGCATTGCCTGGTTTCCATGGCATGAGGTGACGGGATATTGCTGCTTGTCTTGGACGAGATGATAGTCAATTCTATATCACATATTCTGATGCAGCGTCAAGTTTCCCCAATACCTATCTTTATAAGCTACAGTATCAAATATTCTTGCGCACGCGCGATTGGTTTAAAGGTGTGCTCGACTAAGTATGCCCTAGCTAAAACTAGGGAACATCAGGAGCCATGGGCACCGTGAAACATCAGGTAATATTCCCCAATTGATATCACCCAATATGATAAAAGTCTTTATTAAGTTTAATTCGAGGCGAGAAAGCGTTTTGTTATTGCTCATGAAATCGTGTTTTAGAGTACTGATAAATGAACATGGGACGCAGTAAGAAAAGGTAAGCTGTTTGTAAATATTTTGTCCCACGCTTTACAAAAGGGTTGGAAGGATGATCAACGTAGTAGCCCCCCTTTTACGCAGAAAACATGCTCGAACAAATCAGTTCCCTGAAGTCAATTAACAATACGCTGATATTTACCCGCTATGTCTCGTGTTTTCTCTGTTACCCCTCTCATACACTGTAAACTGAGGTACATCCAAAACCTTCTTGTCGCCAAATTTTCCACTTGTCCTTTTTAGTGTTATCGTGCTAAGACCCCTGGGCAAAATTGTTTCATAACTGAGAAAATAAAAATAAAATTAGATTATTTTCGAACCATTTGGGGCCACGCTTGTCAAGAGAGACAGTTATCATAAAGAAAAAGCGAAATTTCTGTCTAAGTGTGGAAAGTCTAACAGATTTAACAATATGATAAAATACAAAAAAAACAAAAAAACAAACCAAAACACCATTTTAGGGGTTACATTATAACCCGTATAGCTACTTTTTACAAACTTCACCCGAAATGTTACAACCCTTCGCAACCTCGTTCTCAGGGTCTATCATCTTCCCTCCCCATACCCTCCTCCCTCGCTCCGGGGGGCGGGAAGATAAGAGACCCTGGGAACGAAGTTGAACTCTTCGCAGTCTGTAACCGGATTACGCAAAGTGTAACCCTTATTTCTGTTCCAATCAATTTACCTAATTTTTCATTACGTGACTAAATAGAAAAGTTCTGTGGTTATCTATGATGGGCTCACAGGACAAAGGTCAATTTTCAGCGTGATCGTTTCATTGATAATGAAACTGGAAAAAGCATTGAGACTAAGGAGGAGTCAAAGGAACCTGTTTTAAGTGGTTTTATCAACTGAGGTGATAAAAAGCGGCTGCTAATAGTTTGTAAAGTTCAATTTTCGAGCGTCAGCCTTCGCTTCAACAAATGACAAATGCTCGAAACGTCAGCTTTGGAAATTATTGACAGTGGGCAGTTCACATCATCAACTCAGTTGATAAAACCAAATTATATACACCCACCCCCACTTCCACCCCAAC